TACACTACACACGGTTACAAAACCATTAACAATTTAAAGCGTTTATTCAAATCTACCACCCGCATTTTTCCAACCGCATCTATCATACTATACCGTGCAGCGAACGTGCAGGACATCTACAAAATGATTTAAATGTGATAGAGGCTGTTTTAAATCTATTCGAGGAGCAGCCTACTATTTCCACAAGAACAATTTCAAGGCGACTGGAGACATCACAAATCAAAGTTTGGCGGATATTGTACGAGAATTTACTCAACCCGTACCATTTTCAAAAAGTTCAAGCTTTAGAACCAGCTGATTTCCCCAATCGTCTTGAATTTTGCAATTGGTTCCTAAATCGAAGTGCAACAGACCCTAACTTTATTAAAACAAAGTGCGCTGGACGGATGGACGCTGTTTTACTCGTACTGGCATTTTAAATAGGTAAAAAACATATTACTTCCTCAAAAACAATAAGTACCTACCTAGGTTACACCAAAGTTTATATTTACACTAAAGTTTACATTTATTATGTAAACTTTGGTTATACGCAACTGCATATTGAATAATAAATTGAAATACTAAAACTGTGTATTATTTAACATAATAAATTATAAAACATGAAAACGTTAATAATATTAAAAATGACAAATTGTAATAACCGTACATTCGAAAACAATCATCCCTATTCAACATTCAATTTGATGACACGATTTTCCTTTGATAAAAGACCGACAACTTTTTGCTCTACTTTGCATGAAATACGATCCTTCATCTTCTTCATCTTCTTCATCTAGTGGTTGGTCCTTTAAAAGTCCCATAGCACTGCGGCCTAATTAGGCCTATTGTGCGTCCCACTACTAGTCCTATTCAGCAAGTAGATTTGTCCTTTTTACAAAGTCCAAAAGCTTCCTTGCTGACACTTCTCTCAGCTCCTTGGGTTTAAAATAGGGTCTCCCAAGGAGCGCCATTCTGCTACGTGCAAATCCCGGGCACTCGCCCAGGATATGCAGAGAAGTTTCATCCGCCGATTCACATCCTCGGCAGACCGGACTGTCTACAAGCTTTAGTCTATGTAGATGTTTCCTAAAGTGACAGTGTCCCGTTATGAGTCCTGTCACTCTCCTGAGCCGGATTCTATTCAAGCTCAGTAGCTCATTCGCTCTTCCATTCGAAGGATACTCCATANTAAAAGATATTTTAATATTAGTGAGTGCTCGTGCCCGACGCATCGAGGAAGCTTGAGCTAGAACGGTAAGTGCCGAATTGAGACAATAGACATTACCTGGCGTGAGTAGTGGGAACCACTTGTTGAGATAAGCCACTAGGGTGATACTAACCTTTACCTTGCTTCACCGTAACCATTAGTGGTAGTTTAATATAGACCAGCCTTAGTGTTGCCATCAATACTTACCTTTTTACCGAACTGCTAGTGTTAACTTACCTTTGAATAATAAATTGAAATACTAAAACTGTGTATTATTTAACATAATAAATTATAAAACGTGAAAACGTTAATAATATTAAAAATGACAAATTGTAATAACCGTACATTCGAAAACAATCATCCCTATTCAACATTCAATTTGATAACACGATTTTCCTTTGATAAAAGGCCGACAACTTTTTGCTCTACTTTGCATGGAATACGATTAGTCTAGGAGCCAAATAGGGTTCCGTTTACTAGCTATAAAAATAAACTTTTTACAGCCATTTAAACATTTAATTTGTTGATAACAATTAAACTGACCGCTTTCAGGCTTTGCGACCAAGTTTTTTAGATTCAGTAGCTCAAAGTACTAAGAATAAGTTGTTTGCAGCTGTGGCACTCTGGTTGGCCATGGCACCCTATCTGGCTTCTAGACTATAGTGCACGTGCAAATCAAAAGTGGGTTAGATAGAAGGTCAGTGACCTAGACACAGGTTAACCTAGGTCGGAAACACGTACCGAGTTGTTTATTTTTTTCCGTCCGATTGTTTTTTTATCTTCTATTACTTACAGTCAATATTTAAATACTACATACATTTCTTAAAGTTAGGTATTTTAATTGGCGCTCATTTTTTAAACATATTTGGACCCCTTAACTATCGTATAGAATTGTTATAATAACAAAGTTATTTTTTAACAACTTTTGGAGAGAATTTAGAAGTTCGAAAAATGTTGACTTTATGAACAAATAGTGTGAAGCGGTTTTGTGGGTTAGAAAGTATATCAAAGTACTAAAAAACAGTTCTCAGAAAAGCGCTTAACTTTGATAAAAGACCGTGTAAGTTGCAAAAAATATGTCCTTGATGCTCATATTCCACAAGATGAGCATTCAGAATATATTTCTTTATATATCTATTTTTTGCCTGAAGCTTGGGTGTTAATTTTATTCATGTGAGTGTAGAATCTCACACATACTATGTTTATCAAATTATGTTTACACTAAAAAACCTTGTTTCCTTTCAGATCTGCTCAACCAAACATGCTAGTCACCATTGAAACAACTAAGAAAGCGTTATAACAGTCAAAAAGTAACTTCTCGCGTGATTCTACGAGAAAAATTCGCCATGTCTGAATCCACCCCAATCTGTCGGTGCCGCGTCCTCTACTTGGGATCGAGCGTACCACAACAGACCAAGGACGGCCTCCAAGGTATCCAGGAGCCGCTGCAGGAACTGTACCCCGACCAGGGGGCCACTGGAGCTAGAGGCATAGATTCTTGGTTGAGTGTGTGGTCGAATGGGATCCTTCTCGAGAACGTCGACGAGAACCATAAAAAGATCACACGGTTTTTCCCCATAGAAAGTCTGCATTATTGTGCGGCAGTAAGGTAGGTCGATCTGTTATACTGTTTATAATTAATTTGTATTAGTTTAATGGGAATTTTAACCTCGGTTCACATGAGCAAGTGTGGAGGTAATCTGAATTATTGAATTATTAGATAAAGGTAAAAGCTAACATTTCAACTTGACAGAAAGAATATCTATTTCGGATGCATACATTTCGGATTTTTTTTTACTAATATAATGTTAAAAACTTGTTGAATACGCTAGTTTTAAGTAAAAAAAATCCGTACATTAGATAACGATGATGTGATAAAATTTAATGCCTCTGATGAAAATTATCAAATAGGTAAAAAGAATACCTAATATTACTGGAACGTCGTCGTTATTATTTCAGTTGTGTTAATTTGGAGTGTAGAATTAAATCATACACCTTGAAAACTTAAAAAAATTATTAGTAGACATTTTAATGCACTTTATGACGGTGAAGGATATGTAGAACGGTAATATTAAAAAACTAGCTCAAAAGAAGTGACGCTGTGTTGCAAATAAATGTCAAAATTACTTATTTTTCACTTTTTTACTATCCATGAAAATCTAGATCACCTATCGCAAAATTAGTTAGTTTATATTGTAGGTATTTAAATTTCCTACAATTTAAGGTACCCAAAGTCATATTTCACCAATTTATTAAATGTAGAATAAAGGTCGAACGCGGAAAAATCAATTTTCGAAAATTGCCCATTATTATTTCAAAAAGCGATGGATATTGATGAAATTTATGAAAAAGATGATCAGTCCAACGACCAACGTGTGTGGAAGGCTTCGATTGACCGTTGCTCTAGGTATTTGTTAATTAATTTAGTTAATTTTTTTGCAACTAATTGTTTAATTACTAAACGTTAATTTTAGATGCTAATACCATAGATATCAGTGGCGGCGCGTGAACATTAATTGAATGTATTTTGCTTAGGGTTGTTACATTTATTGAATTAAATTCCGGGGTATTAAGTGCCCGGAGAGTCTTTAAATGGCGCCGCAGACGAAAATTTTTAAAATTTTCAAGGTCACGCTTTTTCCTGGCACTTCTGAATTTCAAGGAACAATCCATTTGTACAAAAATACAAATTTTCACATTAACGATTTTTGAAAATAATACCTTTTTGAAATATCTATTCACGAATTACTTACTGACGCGACGGTAT